CCCTGAGGCGTCATCTCCCGTCTTTAAAAGGCCCTCCTTCAGCCCCCTGCCCCTCTTCCCACACAGTCTGCTCCCAAGGTTACATGCACAGCTCGACCCCCAACCCATCCTCTCTCTACCTCCACCCCCTACCCAGCAGCATCCCACCTGCAGGGCACCCCTGGGAGCAGGGCAGCGGCTCACCGCTCTCTGGTGCACCTTGTCCCCGGCCTGATAATTAAGTGTGCTGGCCTGAAGCCTCATGTGGCACTGGCGACTCTGCAGCCACATAAATTGTGCCATGCCCCTGCCCTGGGCATCACTCCCAGACACCGTGGGCCTCCCTGGCCTTCCCTCTGCTAACAGCTCCTCATCTCAGGCCCAGCAACAGCCTCTATTCACCTGAGCTAATGCCCCAGGTTACTGACCACATCAGTATAGTAAGTACCCTACTTACGAATGAGTTCCATTCCAAGAGCATAGTCATAAACCCAATTTGTTCAAATTAGCCTAGGTACCCAACTAACAATCAGCTATATAGTACTGCAATAGGTTTACAATACCTTTCATACAAATAACACATAAAAAACAAACACAACAAATAAAACCTTTTTAATCTTATAGGACAGCACCTTGAAAGTACTACAGCTGACATATAGGGGCCAGCATTGAGTGAGCAGGCAGGGAGAGTTACTAACTGGAGGAAGGAAAGAAGGTGGGAGATGGTGGAGCCAAAAGATCATCAACAATAGGAGACAGAGGGCAAGGTGCAATTTCACTCACATCTGACGTTGATGGAACGCACGTTAGCATCTTTGAAAATTCACAACTTGAAGGTTTGTGTGTAGGGGACTAACTGTAGTTTGTTCCTTTTACTCCTGGGTAGAACTGCATTGAGGGCTTCCCACAGGGTGCTGTGGCAAAGAATTCACCTGCCAATGCAGGAGATATGGGTTTAAACCCTGGACTGGGACGATCTCCTGGAGTAGGAAATGGCAACCAACTTCAGTATTTTTGCCTGGAGCAATCCATGGACCGAGGAGCCTGGCAGGCTATAGTCCATGGGGGTAACAAAGATTCGGACACGACTAAGCACACATTCAAGCACAGTTATTTCACTGAATAAATAACCTCTGATTTATATGCGTTCACCTTGATGGAGCGTGTTTATATTAGAAAGAGTGACATGGTTCCCCAGGTGGTCCCGCCATGTCACACAATGACAGCACACATGAAGTTTCATCTGGCCAGGGCGCCCACAATGTGATACCATTGATCGTCACAGTTTGAGGCAATGTGGGCACGTGGTGGCAACTTGCTGTGGTTTTCACTTGCTCCTCTCAGATGACCAGTAATGGTGAACACCTTTCCATTCATGTATTGGGTCACTGGCATGTCTTCTATGAAGCACCTATCCAAGGGCCTCGCACATTTCTTACTGAGTTGTCTATTGACTGCTCAGTAGTGGAATTCTTCCTATTAATGTGTGCTAGACACGAGTCTGCTGTCAAGAGTACACACCACAGATGTTTTCTGAAAGTCCCTGGCTTGGCCTCTATATGTCACAAGAGCACCTGATGAGCGGATCTGTAAGTTCCAATTTTCCAATCTTTTCTCTTCAGTTTGTGCATTCTGTCCCCTTAGAAGTCCCTGCCCACTCCCAGGTCACAATGATCTTTGACACCTTCCTCCAGAAGCTTTGTGGTGTTAGCCCCATTTTCAGGCCTGTGATCCATCTGTAAGTGACACGTGTGGTGTGAGGGAAGAGCCAAGGTGCACATCCCCCATCAGGATCTGGTTCACACCAGCAAAAACCTAGTGACCATAATGTATGGATGCATTTCTGGATATTCTATTTTGTTCATGGATCCTATCTGTCTTTACACCAATACTGTGCTGTCCTGATTATTTTATCTCTACAGAAAGTCATGAAATCCAGGGGTGGAAATTCTCCAATTTTATTCCAAATTGTCTTGGCTCTTCTAAGTCCTCTGCAGATTCACGTAAGCTTCTGGAATCACATTTCAGTTTCTATGAAAACTGCTGGGTTCTGACTGGAATGGCACTGAATCGGTCCAGACAGAACCACTGTCTTCACAATCCTGGGTCCCCTCCAAGGGTTCAGTGTATTTCTCCCTTTAGGTCCTCTTTCTAATTTCAATGTAAAGATCTTTAACTGCATATATTCCGAGGTACCCCCATGTTTTCAGTGGTGGTGGTGATGCTCTCTCTTGTACTTTCTACCTTTCTGGTACATGGAATTACGTTTTGTTCTGGATACTGACCTTGTACTCTGATATCTTACCAAACACACAGCTCAGTTTCAATGTGTTTGTAGATTCTCTGGGGATTTCTATGTCCGTGATTGTGTTGTCTAAGGTCCTGCCTTCACCTTCTTCATCTCCAAACCTCATCCCTCATTTCTCTCCTCTGCCTTTCTGCCCAGCTGCCACTATAGTTCCCTGGGGGGTGCACATGGTCAGAGCAGACATCCTGGTCATGGTCCTGGCTGAGCCCAATGGCTGTCTATCCCAAGCCCACACAGGAATGTCAGTCAGACTTGAGACAACTGATAACGATTGTGCTGAGACACTGAGCAGTACCCAGTGCTCACAGGAGGCATAAACACAGACACACGTGTGCCTCTCAGCTGCTGGCCACACTTCTGTCGGGGCGGGGGTCATTCCTAGGGAGTGTCAGTCTGCACCTGGGCGAGGCCCTGGTCAGGACGACCAGACCCAATCAGACGTGCAGATAAGCTGGAACCAAGGCTGCACCTGCAGAAATGCAAGTACTGCCGCCCTTCACTGACTGAACTAGTTTATCTCAGGGCCAAGAACTTATCATGATCAGTTGCTCATTCATGTCCGACTCTTTGCAACCCATGGACTATATAGCATGCCAGGCTTCCCTGTCTTTCACTATCTCCTGGAGTTTGCTCAACCTCATATCCATTGAGTCGATGCCATCCAACCATCTCATCCTCTACTGCACCCTTTACTTCCTGCTCTCAATACTTCCCAGCCAAGGACTTACTGAGAACAAAGTAATAGTAGTGGGGGAGAGTCCAAGTATGACCTCAGTACTCAATAACCTCCAGCATTCTGGTGCAGAGGGAAGATTGGAAATCATGCCCTGGTGCTTCCTGCTAAGTGTTAGTCACTCAGTCCCGTCTGACTTTCTGTAACCCCATGGGCTTGTACTTGGCCAGGCTCTTCAGTCCATGGAATTCTCCAGGAAAGAATACTGGAGTTGGTTGCCATTCCCTTCTCCAGGGGATCTTCCCAACCCAGGGACTGACCCGGGTCTCCAGCATTTCAGGCTGATTCTTTACCATCTGAGCCACCAAGAAAGGCTCTAAAAATTCACATCTACCCTCTTTCATCGCCAGCATCACAGGTGTTATGGGCTGAACCGCCCAAAAATTATCACGTTGGCGGGGGGGGGGGGGGNGGGGGGGGGGGGGGGGGGGGGGGGGGGTTCCAATGCCCCAGGAGCTCAGAACGTGGCCGGGTCCTCCCAGAGGCCATCAAAGCTCAAACGAGGTACTAGGGCAGGCCCTCACCCAAACAACTGGCATTTTATGAAAGAGAGAAATTTAATCACGGAGACAGATGTGCACACAGAGAAAACGGCCCGACAGGCAAAGAGCAACGCTTCCACAATCAAGGAGCGGCGGCACGTGCACACTGCCAGGAGCCGGGGAGGCCTGGGCGCGCTCTCCACACCACACTGCCTGCACCTGGGTCTCGACCTCAGCCTCCAGCACGGAGACGACCAACCACAGTGCTGCGTCACTGGGGAGACCGACACAACATGGGTCAGACTGAGGCTGTAACTTGACAGAAACCCACGGATCTTGGGAGACCCAGCAAACCAGTCAAAATCAACATGAGACATGGACGCCAACTGCCATCACACAGGCGAGGCCGGCGGCGGCTCTGGCAAGACCCATGCTGGCATGAACTCGGCGGCCGAACCCCTGGCAGACGCCCACTCAGGAACCATAGTGCGTCAAGGCCAACCTGTCACTCACCGCCAGACAGGGCGGGGCCTCCAGAGACCACACCCCCTCCAACAAGGTGAGTCCATGTCAGAGCTGGGGCCAGGACGCCCACGTGTCCCCACCCCCGCCTTACCTTCCCTCGCCCAGGGGCGCCCCAGGCCTCTACACGGACAGCAGCCCGGAGTCCACGATGCACGAGTCCATCCGTGTCCGAGGAAGAGTGGCCGGGCAAGGAGCAAGGCCTGAGCTCGGCTCCTGGGCCCTCGCACGCGACACCAGGTCTGACTCTGGAGGCAGGTCCTGTCCTCGGAGGTGAGGCTATTTCTACCGGACTCGCTGGGTTTTAGACACTGACTCCTAACAAGTGGCTCATAAAGACATAGCTCAGCAGAGCCAGAGCTGAATCTCTGGCAGCAGAATCTACAACTGGAAAACTGGGAAAAACAGGCAAAACAGATACAGATAAATTTGTTTTTAATAAAGGAGTTAATTTTCTTTCAATCCTATATAAAACAATAGCAATTAAAAACTTCATTTTGAAAGTAAAATATTTACATATGAACAAGTAACTGTGCAAAATTTACATGAAAAAATGGAAAGACAGGGATTTCCTAAAAGACAAAATAAAAGGTGTAACAGTTTTCTGGTGTCGATAAAAAATACTGATCAGCATTCAGTTCACACGCGCGAATAAAGTCTAACATGAGAATTCACAGAGAAAGCCAAAGTATTTACAGTCATAAAAGTACTATCAATAGACAATTTAATACAATAACCTCTGAAAATATAAAGAACCAATTAGTATATTTGTAATAAAAAAATAGGTACAAAGAAGGGGCTTTTGCTCTGGACGTCTGTAAAGTGGGCCCACAGCTTGCATACAGTCTCTTAGCAAAATAATTATAGTTACATAGCCATCTTCATGTTATGTGCCAAAAATTATGTACAATTACTGACAAAATACACCAACCATTTTTCAACACTTGATTCACACTGAGAAACAGTCTTTTGATGATTCTTCTCAACTTTGATTTTATTTCATCTAAGTTTTCACTTTTAGCTAAAAAACACAGTGCAAGTAAAATAGATTTATGCTGAAAAGGTTTTCATTTCTTTAACTTTACAGCTTTACAAACAATAGCAAATAAAATGCATTTGTACAGATGCTGACCACACATTCAGAAGGAGCCGCGTCACCGGGCCCCACGAAGCAGAGAGGGACGAGCCCCGAGGCACAGGCGGACGGTGGGCTGCCTGCTCCTCGAGGATCCTGAACGGAGGGGTGGGGAAGGGAGGGAGATAAATAGTCTAAAAAATCAGTTTGCTTTGCCAACTGACTAATACAAAAATAAAATAAGTGAAATGAGGTCACTGGCTGTAGACACACACCTACGCAGTAAGCTGGGTTGAACTAAACCAAATGCACAAACGATGTAGAAACCGCTATGAGGTGACAAGAGGGCAGCTAGTTATTTGCTAAACGATTCCATCAGTTTTTATATATGGCTTGTTTGGCAAGAAGGCCACTCAATCAAAGATGAGTTAGGATTTAATTGTCCTGTAAGAGTACCCGCAGGCCTCTGTGTTCTCTGTTACAGAAACATGTTTTCCTCCGTACTGAAGAGTTGACTTAGAAACAGGAATATAAAACTGTTCCATTGTAAAGAGGTGGCTGTTTTTTAAACAATATCCCATTTGCTCGTTACAAAAAGGCGTAATCTGCAAATATATAAAAAGTCCCCAGGCATCTCTGCTAAGAGGCCGCGTCCGTGCTACTTAAGGAATGCTTTGTACAGCAACAGTGAATGGCTTGTCTCACGTTCATTTTCTAAACAAAATATGAGGTCCCTGAGGTTGACCCGCGTGATCCTTTGCCGCGTGAACTGTCTGGGGGTTCCGACGCCGGAACTGCCTGGGACCGCCGAGCCTGGGCCCGAGCCCTGGTGACGAGAAAGGAGAAGACAGCCGAGTTAGTGGAGCACAGAGGTGGGCAGGGCCCTCAGCGCTGGAAGGAAGGGGCAAAGCCAGGTGCTACCCCAGGACCGCAGGCCTGGGGGCAGCGCACGGTTCCCTACAGGTGTCCCACGGAACCCGGCTATGGAGGAAGCCGGGCCTGGACAGGCTTAGGCCAACTGCTGGAGCCGCGGTGCTCAGCCAGTCCCTAACAGAAGGGGTGAGAGCAGGGGGGCACGACCCCACGCCCACCTCCAGGCCTGGTGCTCTCAGGCACACACTGGAAGATGCTAACCCTGCGACTCCCCAGAGAGCTCAGACTCTGGCCCTGGGCACAGAAGGAAAACGTGGCGGCTCCTGCCCCAAAGGGACGCAGAACAGCTCCAGGGCTCGTGGCTGGCATTGCTGGTGTCCAGGACTCAGGTGGGCTGGCACTGCACCTGTGGTGGCCATGTCACCCCCCACTTCGCCAACAAAGGCACATTCCCAAAGCCGCAAGGTCCAGGCTCGTGGGCTGGGCAGGCTGGCAGTTGGCGAGCTGGGCTGCAGGACTCTTCAGTCACCATGTCGTCTGCGGCCTGGAGGGTGGCCCCACTCCCTTGGGCTGACAGTGGTCTGCACTGCTCGGCACCCAGTTTGGTCAGCCTGCAGGGGGATCCGGCCGAAGGTGTGAGCTCTGGCGCCTGCCTGCTTGCAGAGCTGGGGTTCTGGGTGCCTTCCTGCCGCGTTGCCGCCCCCAGCAGCAGCATCCATGATTTCAGCACATCTGTCACCGTCTCCATCCGACACTCGTGGGCACAAACCATATAATTCCCAACTGGACGGGTCGTGGTTTCCGTTCAAAACAAACAGGAAGTGTCTGTATTCTGATGGTTAAAGTTGCTCATGTGTATTTCAAGTGCAAAACTTACAATGGAACTTTTATTGCGTTTTCTCAAAGTTTAAGAAGGTGGGAGCCATGAGTCCTGTGATGCTGGAGGAGGCCGCAGTGCAGCAAGCGGCCAGCAGGTGGCAGGCGAGGCATCCCATGCGTCTTCTGTTAATTTAGGAGTTCCTTACAACACCGCCCCCACCCCAGAACCTTAATCACCGGTCCCTCCTCCAGACAAGTCCTCTGGTGACTACTTGTCCGTGTTTGAAACAACTACTCAGGTTTTCTTGCCAGTTCTCCCTGAGTCTCCGTAACAGCCCTATAGGAGCATTTTGTGTACAAAACAAACAGCACCCCTGAAAAGGTGGTGATGAAAACACACAGCCAAGAGGAACCAGGAAAACGGGAGCTGGCCTGCGCCCGGGGCCCTGTGGGTCTGCACCCTCAACACAGGGGAGCCTGCAGAGGCCAGTGTCTGGACAGACAGCTGGGAGGGGCGGACAGGGCACCACCTGACCTCGAGGCTCACGGAGAACAAAGCGCTACCTAAACCACGGGCCAGGTGTCTTCTGTGACACTCACTACAATTCTGGACCATGTTTGACGCTCTTACTTTCAAAACAGTTCAACGGCCAAAACCAGCTAGAAGGGTGAGGGCTCTCACTTCAGGCACAGAATGTAAAAGATGCTGAAACTCAGAAATCAAGGTAAATGATATTTTAATGAAATCTTTTTTAGAAGTCAAAAGTGGCTCCAAACAAGACAAGCAGGCGTTAGCACAGCCCACAGCTGGACTCCAGGGCTGTGGCCATGCTGGCCACACTCATCATGTCTCAGGCACCAATGGTCATAAGGTGGCCACATGTCACTCTTTCACGGACTTTAACAAGAAGCCTGTGCTCAAAGGCCTCCTACCTGACACTAAATGTCGTCCAATGTCATGGTGTGAGTGCCAGCCTGTGACCAACTAGCTCTGGGGTGTCCTGGTCACAGAAGGCGGTCACAGGAACCCAGTGCCCAGCCTGCAGGAAGTGGCCCTAGGTTATCAGCAGTGACCTCAGATGACAGAAAACTGCACAGAAGATGCCAGCATCCACTTTCACCAACAGGCTCAAGCACAGAGGATGATGGATTTGTTCTGTTTTGCATTTGCAGGGGCTGGGGTTGAAACACCGCAACCTTGGACCCCAGCTCCCCACCTGAAATCACTGTGTGAACTCAACCTGTCCCATTCCAAGACTGTCAAGAGGATCAATGAAAGGCTATCCCCTACTGTCTCCTTTGAAGGCAAACTTAACACTGTCAAAAATGCCACAACCAACTTGACAGGCAACAAGCACTCAATGCAGGAACCAAGTGGAAACAATCACCTTAGCCCCAACCTGCCTGGCTCGCCGGTCACTTCACTCAGGCCCCCGAGCCATGCACAACGGGCCATGGCACCTGGCTGCAGCTGCAGGGACCTGCCACCGGCCCTCACCACGGTGGCAGAGAGCACCAGCCCCTTGGGGACTGTCTGGGGGAACTCGCATGGGGGGCCTTACTGCCACTCCCCCCAGAGCTCCTACAATAGTAGCAAGAGGTCCACACCACGAGAGGCTATCTGAGTGATGCCCCATGTGCCAGGTGGTAAGTAACGGAGGTCAAAGTACCAAGAGCACAGACACCCCCTGGCTCGCTCTGCTCCTCTTCACACCAGTGCAATTCCCGAGCTTGTCCACACCCGAGCACAGGCAGCTGGAGGGCGCCAGGGACCCCTGGCACTTGGCTGAGGAGAGCCAAGGTCACCCTGGTATCTTTCATCATCTCCCCCAGGGCCATCCAGAACAGGGAGGGAACACAGCATCCGCACTACATGAAGATGCAGCCCAGGCTCCGCAAAGACCGAGGAGGGGAGCTATGCCCCCATGATGCCAAGCAGTAGACACAGCAGCGAGAGTCCTCCTCCCACCAGAGCAGGCTGGGGGGTGCCTAAGTGCACACCAAGAAGTGAGGGGGGGGAGGCAGGGTCCTGCGGGTGCCACCAGAGGACCTCAGCCCTCCTCATCAGGAGAGACACCAGCTAAGTCACTGGGCTCTGCACAACAGTCAGGAGAGGGCGTCATCAGGCCACAAATCTCGTCAACACCCACACCACAAAATTAACAAGAGGAAGATCAGCAAGTCCACCAAGAACCACCACAAGCAGTTAGAAAATGAAATCCCACACATACCAGGTCCAAACGCAATCTGGAAAAATGAGCAACTACAAGACAACCCTTTCAACAAAAAAATGTACTTACACATTGGAGTTTATGAAAATCACCTTGAATCAAAAACTCAAAATATAAGGGCAAGATGGATTAAAAGCCAGAAAGAAATGAGAGTTCACTGACTCAAGAAAGAAATGAGAAAAAAAGATAAAATTATCTGATACATGAATATAATAAACTGTAAGGTGCTCAGGGGAGAAAAAACTCAAATAAAAATTCATAAGCGGCAAAGAAGAAAAGCTGAACAAAAGAAGAGAAAGGAGACAAAGGGAAAAAAAATTAAAGGGCCAGGAAAACACAGGGTAAAGGAAGACACGAAAGGAGGACATGCACTGAGCCATCGGATCCCCCAGAGAGGGAGCCAAAGGTGAGAAGCAGGAGAAATATACTAAACCATAATCTGAGGAACCTTTCAAGAAATGGAAACCAAAAAACCAAACCTACATGGACAAGGCGAGTGGGCACCTAGGAAAATTAACCCATAAAATCAACTGCCACGAAGCCTCATAAAACTGTCAGTTTTCCAAGATAAATTAACCTGGAATCAGGCTTTCCAAAAACCATGCTGCTGCTGCTGCTAAGTCGCTTCAGTGGTGTCCGACTCTGTGTGACCCCACAGACAGCAGCCCACCAGGCTCCACCGTCCCTGGGATTCTCCAGGCAAGAACACTGGAGTGGGTTGCCATTTCCTTCTCCAATGCATGAAGTGAAAAGTGAAAGTGAAGTCGCTTAGTCGTGTCCAACTCTCAGCGACCCCATGGACTGTAGCCCACCAGGCTCCTCCGTCCATGGGATTTTCCAGGCAAGAGTACTGGAGTGGGTTGCCATTTCCTTCTCCTTCCCAAACCCATACAGTAAGCCAAAGTGAAAGCTGGTCACACAGTGTCCAACCCCATAGACTATAGCCTGCCCAGCTCCTCTGTCCATGGAATTCTCCAGGCAAGAGTACTAGAGTGGGTTACCATTTCCTTCTCCAGGGCATCTTCCTGACCCAGGAATCAATCCCAGGTCTCCTACATTGCGGGCACATTCTATACTAACTGAGCCACTAGGGAAACCCATATACAGTAAGCAAGGAAAAGCATTAAAAACATCACTGAAAGCAAGCATGAACCAACATTTTTATATCCAGCCTGACTGCCCTCCACATCAAGGCCACAGAAAAACCGTTTCAACTTGCAATATGGCGGGGACTCTGCACCTGAGCTTCGTGAGAGCTCGGCCACAGGTCAGGGTCATCCCAATGACAGAGAACAGAGAATCCGCAGAAGAAGGGAGAAATAGGCATTTATAATATAAACACACAGCTGCTGCAACAATGACACTGAGGAAGTGGCCGGGAGATGACACCGTATGCCATGACGAAGTAGAAATGACGTGACAAAGCGTGAGATGGAAGGGGTCACAGGACCCACAGGGAGGCCGTGTGGCCACCTGGGGCCAAGGAAAATGCAGACCTGAGCTAAGAAGCCCAACAGGAAACACACGTGAAAACCTGGGGTAAAGACACCCAAACACTTACATACAAAAGTGACCACTAGAGCAGAGGCACACAGCTTCCTAAACACAATTATCTTAATTAAGGAGCAAAGACTACACATCACACCAAAACAATCATAACCCTAAGAATCTGTGACAGAGTCTGAACCCACATGTCAGCTGCATCAACACAGATGATGGGCTTAACTTGTGCGTGATGGAAAGACACTCGCCAGCAGGACTCAGAGGACAGGACCCTGCCACACACCAGAGGTGCACCTACAGGAGGGGCCACGGGCCCAGGAGGAACAGAGGCTCCAGACCAAGAGGAACAGGAGAGCAGGGGAAACAGGCCTGACTGAGGACAAGGGGAACATCGAGCCCC